TTTAGGGATAATTACAATAATAACCCTATATATATATTATTTTTTCAATTAAATTCTTATTTTTATTGAATAAAAATAAATTTTTTAATATATATTTTATTTTAGGTCGGGTCGGGTTTGGTTTTATCTCAAAAGGTCTGGTTCGGGTTCGGATAGAGGATATAAAATTTTCGGGTCAGGTCATATCGGATCGGATGGAGACTGTAAAATTTTCGGTTTGGGTCGGCTTTAGGAAAATAAATGGCTAATGTATAGTAGTACTAATTTTAGGTGTTGTTTCATTTTAGTTATTTAATTAAGAAAAACTTTAATTTTATCACTAAATATTTTAAATTGATTTTTTTATTGGACCATTAACTCATTAACGTCATGATGACATGAATATTGTCTTTTGTTTTTTTATAGAAAATCTTCAATTTTTCAGTTATTGATGTCGATCAATTGTTATGCATCGTTAAGTATGTTGTTCGTGTTCTTGAAAGAATATTTTTCATCTTCAAAATTTTGAGCGAAAACTCTAAACCCTAAAAATATGAAAAATCCCTTAAACTCTAAAACGATGGATCTTTTGTGTACAAGTTTATGAGTTTTAATTCATCAAAAAAGTTTACGAGTTCTAAAAAAAGATTTTAATTTTTTTTAAATCGATAGAGTGGTGAATAATTATGCGACGAGTTTGTCAATGTCTAAGATGACTATAAAATATGTAAAAGAATTATAATTTGAACGCTAAGTGAAAATAGATAAAAAGACTTAAATCTTGATGAAGAAGACGATGAGATAAAAAGAAGAGAGAAAAATTCACGTCAACACAAAATGAATAAATTTATTTAGTTTTCATATAAGTATAAAAATATCGGGTTATTTAAATAGGCTTCCAACGAGGTATAGGTTGATCTCCTTTGGTCTTATTATGGATCACGGTTATGTTTTTTGTGGAAATGAAATGGAGTCAAGGGACCATATCTTCTTGGGTTGCACCTTCTCTAAGGTTGTGTGGACGAGAGTGTTGCAAGTTTGCCATCTCTAGCGTGCAGTGAGGGGCTGGACTAAAGTGGATTGTTAAATGTCTCAAGGGCAAGTCTCTCTTTACAATTATCATGAAAATTGCTTGAAACTCTGTTACTATTATGCGTAGAGGGAGAGAAATCTTCGCATTTTTCAGCATAAATCTATGGAGGTTGAAGATATTGTTCGATACATTAGGGAGGTAATTAGGTGTAGATTGATAGGCTCACCCATAGATAGAGCGAAATCTGTCAATAAATTTTTTTATAACGAGTTGAATATTGTACAAGGGAGTATTTTTTTTTTCATTACTGATTGTAAAGGGTTGACAGTTGTATTTTTTGTTCCTGGGTAAATAAAGTTTGCCTAAAAATTTTTAATGCACCAACTGAAATATTTTTCCTTCTTCAATATTCCTTTCATGTATGTCTTTCCCTATAAATCTAAGGTGAATATAAAGTCGTATATGTTCAAAGACTTTCAGTTATTTGACAACGAATATTCTTATCTCTACATTCACATTGCTCGAATCCAAAACTTCAAAGAATAACAATAAATATTTTTATTATTAAAGTTGTTTGGTTGGTATTTTATGCCCCGACTTAAGTATTGGAGACTGTTGTATAGCAAAAGCTCTGACAATGAAGTTATAAGCTAGACTAATAAAAATACATAATTAAAATGATATTAATAATTTAAAAATTCATTAAAAGTGAAGATAAATTTAAGATCTAAAACATGATTATGAGATGTTTAACGTTATTAGCTCCTAATTTTGTGTTGGGTTAGAGATGGGCATATGTAGGGATGGGTATGGGTTCAGGTCGGGTTTCGGTCAACTCGACTCGATCTAACTCGAAAATATATATTCTTCACCCGAAATATATATATTATTTTTATTCAACAAAAATGATCAGGTAAATTTATAAGGTAAATTTAAATTTTTTTCGGGTCGAATTGAGTGTTTTTGCACCCTAAACCCGATCTAACCCAACCCAAATTCATTTTTTTAAAAATTTAATCCGATTAGGTCAAAACCCGTTAGATTGTGATCCCGTGCCCATCCTTAGACATATGGGTATTGAATGGAGAGGTCATAGATTAGATATTAAATGATTAGTTATGAACAAGGGTGTTCATTTTTCGGTTTTAACCGAATTAATCAACTGAACAAAATTATTTTAGTTAATTCGGTCGGCTACCAAATTAGTTCGATTGGAGAACAGTTAATAATTTTTTTAGAATTCGGTTATCGGTTAATTTGGTTCGAAATTAGATAATTAACCGAAATTAAATTTTAAATTTTAAATATATTATATATAACATATGGGCTCAACCCAAACTATTTAAAACCCAATTAATAATTTAAGATCCAAAAACTTTTAAACCTAAATCAATATTAATTAATTTAAAAATCTATATAAAATTTTTATTTTATAATTATATATTATTTAAATTATTTGTAAATTATTATTTTTAATTAAAAAACATTCAATTTTTATATAATTTAGAAAAATTTAAAAAAGTTCGGTTAATTCGAAAATTAACCGAAATTTATTTGGTTCGGTTAATATTTTCAAAAAAAAGTTTGGTTCAATTAACGGTTAAAAAAAATTCGATTAATTCGATTAATGATAATTCGATTCGATCGACTATCATTTTAAGCGAATGAACACCCTTAGTTTTTTCCTTATGGAAGTTGAGTGCAAGATGATTGATTGCAAAGTCAAAATTGGTTTAAAAAAAAACTGTGATATGATATGATGGTGCGAATGGGGGGAGAGTTTTAAGCACTCGAATCCTATTCCAGAGAATGAGATTCTTCTTCCACCCCCCAAATACTGACCCTTTTAGGCCTGCGTTGACGTTGCGCCCTATTTTATTCTTTTATATCCAAAAGACCCGAAAGTGGGAGACCCTTCTCTGCCAAGCCACTGTAATTTCAACACTCGAAAAAAAATAAAGGAAGAGAATCCAATTTGGGGGGGGGGGGTTTAGTGGTGTGCGCAATGCCCAACATTTTCATTCAATTGGTGTAAATCTTCGTTAATGTTCTGTGAGTTCTTTATGGTGTCCACTGATGTGATACATAACCCACGTGATTTAAATTCTAGATAAAATAAATGTCAATATCACTTACCTAAATATAACGATGGTATTCAAATAATATATATAATTAGATTTAAAAGTAACGTCAATCACCACAAACAAAATTATCTAAATAGTTAGAGAGATGATTATTAATTTTAGAGGTTTCAAGATCAGGTATCAATGGCTATCAGTGTATTTAAACGTTTATTTTTAAATGATTGAGAGTTTTTAGAATAAATACTATTACTTGTAATTATTTCTTGAGGATCTATAACATTAAGTATGAACCAAGCGACATCGGAAGTAAATGAATTATTGTTATTCCTTAAGGTATATGATCCAAGCACCATGAATATATAAAGGATATGAACATTCAATGTGAAGTGACTGAAAGTTATATTTAAATAAAAATTACCTCATACTTATTTCATATTAATCGAAGAAAATAACACAAGAGATGTTGGATCAAAATATATATCTAATAAATAGGGATGAGAACAAGTTAGGTTAGGATTGGGTTTTTGGTCAACTTGACCATATCCGAAAATATGTATCTCTACATGAATCCGACTCGACCCAAAGAATATATCATCCACCCGAATTCGAAATGACCCGAATTTTCAAAGTATAAATCTGACCCGACTCGTCCAGACCCGATAAAAAATAAGATTTTTTTTAAAGAAAATTACATTATTATCCTCGAGTATGATCGAGTCACAGTTTTTATCCTCCACCCAACTCGATCAGACCCTAACCAAATTTAAAAAAAAAAAAAATCAACCTTGTCGGATCGGGTCGGATAGAATCACGTCGGATTAGATTGCCATCCTACTAAACATAACTAAAATTATATTCACTAAAAGTTAAATCAGTAAATTAATTTTTAAAAGAAAAATATAGATACAAAATGGGGATAATCCTGGACACTACCCAACTAGTGTGTGCCAACTGCCAACCATTGAAGCATGCATGGGAATATTCCAGATTTGTTTACGTTTTATTTTTCGGAAAAAAGATACCATTCATTCACTAAAAAATTATATTTGCATTTTTATGTTGATTTTATAATCTACACTCACAGTGTATAAATAATATTTTTAAAGTAATTTATACTCACAGTGTATATATATATATTGAGGGTGTGAATCACGAATAAATATAGAGACAGAAAATTCAAATTGTAATGTTAAAATTTAAATATATAATAGAATTTTGTTTTTTTAAATGAACGGGACGTGAGTGTCAATGTATAGTTAGGAATGTTAATTATTTTCAAAGTAATATTAATATTCTTTTTTAAGTGGTGTCAAATTTGTTTTTAATGTTTTTAATATAAATTTTATTGAGATTTTTTTTAAATTGAGATGTTAATGGGCACTCCGACATTGAATGAAGTTCTGCCCATGATCACGAGTTTTTATCTATTTATTCGTTTAATATTTTAAGTAAAGATTAATTTTTTCAGATCACGCGAACAATTTATTTCAGTGGTAAATAAATTATTATTTTTTAAAGGTTACGGGTTTAAATACCATCAGTTATAATAGGATGATTGAGCATTCATTGTTGAATGATTAGAATATTTAGAATAAATATATTTGTAATCACCTTAGGTTTTTTTTATATAAAATATGTATTATTATTATTATTATTTTATTTTGAAATAAAAATAAATATTTTAATTTATGTTTGACATTGGGGCAGTTTATTAAAAGCAACAAAATCATGCATTTGAAAAACATAGAGGTCCACTATTTTCTTTGTATATATATATATTATATATACTTTTTTGTATGGGTAGCTATATTTTAAAATCTAGAATATATTCCTCATTGCATATTTTTCAAACAAACCAGGTTCTTTCTCTTTATATAATCTGCCTCTTGCCAAGCTTAATATGAATCAAAAGGAGAAATAAAAGAAAAAGAAATGGGGGCAGACATAAAGAGCAAGCTCCGCCTAGCTCTTGGGTCAATGAAGGACCATGCATCCATCGGCAAGGCCATGATATACAACCACGACGGCAAAGCCTTCTCCGATATAGACATCGTCGTCCTCAGAGCCACTGGCCACGATAACGGTCCCATCGAGGACAAATACATGCACGAAATCCTCTTCCTCGTCTCCAACTCTCCGGGATCCATCCCTTTCCTGGCCGAAAGGATTTCACGTCGGCTCTGCAAGACCCGAGACCACCTCGTCGCCCTCAAGACTCTCTCGCTCATCCACCGTCTCTTGCGCGGCGGCAACCGTTGCTTCGAACGAGAGCTGCGTAACGCTCACGTCTCCGGTCATCTCCAAATGAGTGCCACCGCCAACTGTTTCCGCAACTCCTTGTTTTCGTTCCTACGTACCTACGCGGCGTATCTCGAGGAACGAGTGGGTTGGGCCATTACACAAGCCGGGAAACTCGAACCAGTTATGTTCAATGGCCCGGAGTTCGGATGTTACGAGGAGAAGTCGGTCGACATGGTGTTTCGTAAGTTGCCGAAATGTCAGGCGTTTATGGACAGGGTCTTGGATTGTTCGTCGATTGATATCGTGCCGCCTGCAGACAACTTGGCCCAAGCAGCCATGGCGAACACCTTAAAAGAGAGCTTCCAAGTTTACATTATGTACTGCGAAGGCATCGAGATTCTCATCAACATGTTCTTCGATTTGACGACGCCGGCCAGAACTTTGGCCTGCAACATACTCAAGAGGGCTTCTCGACAAAGCAAAGAGCTTGCCGATCTGTACGAAACGTGCAAACGAGTGATGGAGAACAAGAATCTGGAGTATCCAAGTGTGCAGATAATCACCATGGATCACGTTTCGGCATTGGAACAATGCTCCAGCATCATGTCAACGAGTTCGTCTACGGGTAAACAAAGCGATAAGGAAGGGGATGAAGATGATACTAGTTCGTCGTCGAATCAGTTCTCATTCAGTCTTGAAACCAAAATAAGCAAGGTCTGGGTTGTTTTTGACGAAGATTACGGTGAATTGCAGGTTCCTGTTGATATTGTTTAATGGCCTTTGTCAACGCTATTCCAAGAACAAAATAGATTGATGGTAGAGAAGCTCAACTCCATGGATTCTCTGAATCAAATGAAGATGAATTTTAACATTATCCTCCAACCGGAGGTTAGATCTCGAAGATGCAAGAAAATCACAAAAAGAAAATTATCAAGAGCTTTTGGTAGGTGCTTGCTAGTTGCTAGTGAACAATGTTATTGAACTTGATTCGTTACGATAATTTCGTTAGAGTGAAACCGTTGTCATGTGTTGTGAATGGTCCTTCGACTTGCCATAGAAACTCATCTTTTATGGAATGCCAAATTGTCAAGAAATCCCAAATTGAATACCATGGGAGGTGAATTTGAGTATTGCAATAGGATCATAATTCAATTCTATTATAAGTTCGTATACTATAACTTATTTTGTTGAATTTATTGAGCGATCATGGTGGTAGAAAGAAGTATTGTTCTACTACAGATTTTGAATTCGAGTAGTTGTTAATAGTTAAATAAGATTCTGAATAAATATTATCTTATATTGACTCGAGACTATTAGAAAATTATTTAATTATATTTTATAAAAGAAAAAAAAAATTCTAGTCTGTTTATTATACCTAAATGCTTGTTTTGATCCATTTATTGTAAAAAAAAAATAAATAAATAAAAAGAAGAAGAAACTTTATTCCCTAAAAATGAATATTTTGATCCAAAATAACTATACGCCTTAAATATTTTGGTTTAAACATCCTTGATGTCCATATCAATTTTAAAATTGAATAAATTGACCCCTCTTGAAAGAGTAATTTATTCAATATACATACGAGAGTGAGTAAATAAGAATGTTTTGTTCTTTTACGTTAGTATATAGCACGTGTCCAACTGTGATTATTATTTTAAAATATAAAATATATATATATATATATATATATATATATATATATATATATAATTTTATAATATTATTCAAAATTTTGAAAATTTTAATGAAAGTTTTAATAATTTTTTATGATTTTTGTATCATCTTTTTTAATTAAACCATTACTATTATTCTAAATCTAAAAGTTTTGAGAAAATTCGAAGTATATTACTTATGATATACTTTAAAAGCCATAGTTCATAAACAAAAGTTTTGACTAGGGATGCTTAATGAGTTGAGCAACTTGAACTCATATCGATTAAAGCTCGATAAAAAATCGACTCGAGTTGACTCGACTCGAACTTGAGCTCGACTGGACACCTTAATGAGTTGAGTCAAGCAAAGTCCAACTCGACTCAATAAGTTCACGAGCAACTCGTTAATTTTTTATATATTTTTAATAGTTATCTTAAAAAAAATATTTCATACACTCAAAAATCAAACCTTATTTATTATTATAATGTATTTTGTTGATTGTTACTTTGGAATTTAGACTTTAAAATTACTTCATTCTCTCTTTTGATATTTTTTTTGTTAAATTTATTAATTTATCTTTATATTAAGTTCTATATAATATTATTAGACTTTACATATAGTTAAGAAAACAAGGTAAAAATTTCGGTGAGCTTAGTGAATAACGAGGTGATCAAAGAGCATCGAGCATAACGAGTAACGAGCTAAACAAGAAACGAGTCGAGCAACAAAATTTTTTTAACGAGCATGAGTCGAGCATTTTCCAACTCGCTCGATAAGTACCCACTAGACTTTTTCTTGAGGAATTTTTAGGCTTCATATTTTCTATAGTTCTCATTTTATATTCTCCTTAGATTTGTGTTCTTGCCATGCAATAACCATTGGAGTAATTGAGGGCGAAAGTAGTAGACAAAGATTTTGGGTTTATTCTCAAATTTTCTTTGTTAACTAAGTGTCATCACCGTTTTTCACCGGGACATAAAAAAAAATAGATGTACGACACGACTTTCGAGAAAAATCAGTTTTTTAAAATTGAATTAAATCAAAAAAGATTAAAGTCGTCATCGATCTTTTGGTTAGGTAGGTCGAATACCCAGAAACGAATTTTAAAAAAATCATTTAAAGATGAAAATTGGTCTGTGTTTAACCAGAAATTCATTTTTAAGGATTACAGAGTCAGTTACGCGTGGGGAAGGGTAATCACCCACTCAGTGCCCAATATTGGTACTTCTCGATTATAGGGTGTCGAAAAAAATATAAATTTGAACTCAAAATTTAAATTACGATCCTTTTTATTTCTATGATTTTTTTTGTAATGAGTGAATTTTTAACACCTCAACTCATATACGTACCCGTATATGAGTCAAAGATGTCACATCAGTCACACAAAATATTTACTATTTGAATACCGATAAAAATTTGTTTCTTTAAATTTTCAAAAATGCATTTCTTTATTTTAAAATTAATAATCACATAAAATCATAATTTCTATTTAAATGTAAAAATTAAAACCAATTTAGATAGCATTTTGGCATTTCTATATTGTAACGTATCGTAAATCAAAACTGTCAGAAAACTGTTTGATTTGAAAAATTGTTTCTATCATAAATAATTACGATTTAAATAACTAATATTCATAACTTAAACAAAAATGTCTCAAACAGACTCGAATCAGAGCAGCTAGAAACTTCTTTAATATACATATCACTACCAAATAAATTAACAGAGAAGATGTCATTACTTACTGATTCTGGTGGCATATATGATTCCTAAAAAAATAATACTGACATGCTCCCTATTTTCTTTTCCTACCTTGCACCTCGCTAAGTTTTCACTTAGTGAGGCAACAAAGTAAAATACAATAAATAAAATATTTAACTTATAAAACATGCAATATCGTAAAAAAAATTAATAAAATAAAACATATATAAAATCATGTCAATTCGTAATAAGAATTTATTATAAAATTTGTAATTCAGACTGTAATGTGTCATTTTAGATATGTAATTTTCTATTCGAAATCAGATCATTTCAAATCTATACATTTCTCATCCATATCAAACATTTGCCTATTGTCTTATCATGAGAATATAAGGTATGCGAGTTAGTAAACGAGTGTGCGCGCTATTTGCAGTTTTATTATCAGTAATAGTTTACACTTTCAGTGCCAGTAACAGTAATGTACATGTATTATAAAACACAACATTACTATACCAGTAATCCGATACTAGGGATAAGCATGGGACTCGAACTCGACAGGTTCCGACACGATCGGGTTGGGTTTTTTTTATAAAAAAAAATTTGTGTTCTGGTCGGGTTTTTTAAAGGTGGTGTTCGGGTCGGATTCGGGTTTAGGATGAAAATACCCGACCCGACTCGAAAAAATATAATTTTACCTTATATATTTAGGAATAATTACAATAATACTCTTCTATATATATTTTCAATTAAATCATTGTTTTTATTGAATAAAAAATAATATTTTATTATTTCGGGTTGGGTTGGGTCGGTTTCAGATTTTCTCTCAAAAAATCAGGTCGGGTGGAGGGTATATATTTTTCGAGTCGGGTCAGGTTAGGTGAAGGATATATAATTTTCGGGTCAGGTCGGGTTGGTTGAAACACGACCCATGCCATCCCTATCCGATACGGTTTCCACAATGTCACAACATCGTGAACCCACGGTGCACATACAGTGTCAGTATCAATAATCAGTAATCAGTAAACAGTAATCAGTAATCACTCCACCTCATGGCATGTCATTTGTACCACTAACTCTCAATCTCATACAATGGGAGTAATTCAAAATCATATATTGTTCTCCATATAAATCATTCATATAGTCGAATATAAATAAATAAAAATCTCATAAAAATCAGTATTGAGCAATTCATACCCAAAATATTTACATGCTATAAAATAAAATACCAAATAAAATAATTTGGGTTATTCAAACCCAAAATCATATAAAAACCATTTAGTAAATAATTATAAAGATATTTCATAAAATAATTCAAATTGTTTTCAATCGAAAACCTTCGAGGTTGGCTCATCGCAAGTCGTCCTCATATCGAATATAAAATAAGTAAGTTGGACTCACATGTTGTCTCACTGCACTTTAATTATTATCCTCCTTGCACCCTCGAACTTAATCCTTTTCTTTTGGTTCGATTTGTTTTTGTTTACAATCACAATCTTCACGACGATCAACTCTCCGACATAAACAATTTCGAATACGAATTAGTACTTTAACTAATATAATAATCATTTATATTCTAACAACTTTCTTAAAAAAATAATCGACACATATTCGAAACTAATTTCTCTCCCTTAATCTTGTGAAACTTTCCACCTTAATCCAAATTCAGTATTCTAACATTCAAACTATAATTTCCAGCATTGTATCCCAACTTTTCAAAGCTTGCATCTTAATCCTTTAAATTTTCCAAACATTGTAAAATATCCGTAACAACTTCACCATTTCACCACCAACTTCCTTCAACTTACAATTGAGTTCCTAGAATTATAAACCCTTCCAAATCAATCCAATTTACTGTTCTGATATTAAATTTCAGTATAGAACTTCAATTTTTTCCACAATTGCACATTAATCCTTTAAATTATCAAAGCTTACGAAAATGTTCTCAAAGCCTAGTAAAGTTCCAAATTTGGTCCCAAACATCATTTCAAGCACCTAAAATTATTCTTACATTCAATCTAAACCAATAGGAATTTTTGGTACAAAATTTTCCTTTAATTTCTCCCTTAGGCTCAAACTTTGCAATCTTCACCCTAATAGTCTCCAATTTGATTCATTCATAATTTAGTCATCATTGCACCATTTCCAATACATTCCAATCAATTCCAAAGCAAAATAAATCAAATTCAACCAATTCCTCACTCATCAAGCTTATGGCCGAATGCTTCACTCTTACTTTCTAATGGTTTTAAATCCAATTTCATGTTAGTATTTAATTTTACGACACTCTTAACATCCATGTCTAACTTTAATTCAATAAATTTTCATGAATCCAAGTCTCCTATTCATCACCTAAATCACCCACTTTCACCATTCAAGCATGAAACAAAGAAATAGTTACACCAAATTGTAGAGATTTTAATGGGGATTATTTTTATATTTCATACTTTAGTCCAAAATCTAATTAAAATAGACCAAAATTGAAGAAAAAGAAAACTTACTCTTTGGCTATGGAGTCACGGCAGTAGTTGAAGAAGAGAAGAGGAGTTCACGAAAATTCTAAAAAAAATTCCCAATTATAAACTTTTAAAGCTAATAAAATGAATTTTTTATTCCTTTTGGGTCAAAAACCAAAATTACCCTTAATGAATTCCCAAAATTACACCCATGCTACTCCTTAATCTCTATTTTAGTATTATTAAAAATCTGTAAAATTCTCATCTCTCAATTTTTCTTTTTCAATCTCCAATTTTCCAAAATTTAATTTTAGTCACTAAATTGCACTATCTCACTTTATAGTGAAATTCTCACCAAATTCCACCGATACAACTTAAATTTCACTATTT